CAGAATGAACCCTCAGTGTCCATTATAGGATGAACCTTCGGTGTCCATTATAGGATGAACCTTCGGTGTCCATTATAGGATGAACCTTCGGTGTCCATTATAGGATGAACCTTCGGTGTCCATTATAGGATGAACCTTCGGTGTCCATTATAGGATGAACCTTCGGTGTCCATTATAGGATGAACCTTTGATGTCTATTATAGGATGGATCCTGGGTGTCCTTAAAGAATGAACCTTTGATGTCTATTATAGGATGGCACTGGGCTGCATGTAGTGTGAACTGGCCCTTAGAGTTTTTGACCCTCACCCAGCCTGTGACTACAGTGAAAGGAAAAGCAACAGACTTTGTGGCTACCCTCTAATTCAATAGTGCCTGTCACTCCTCATATACAGCCAAACCAGGTATTCAGGTGGAAACTGAAAATTTTAAACTCATTCAATACTTTATTCTTTTTAACCACTTCAATACCGAACACTTTTACCCCCTTCCTACCAAGGCAATTTTCAGCTTTCAGCGTTGTCTCACTTTGAATGACAATCGCGCAGTCAAGCAACACTGTACCCATATGAAATTTTTAGCATTTTTTTCACACAAATAAAGATGTCTCTTGGTAGTATTTATTCACTACTGTTTTTTAAATTTTTGCACTATAAGCAAAAAAAGTATATGGTATATATCTGAAAATCAATAAATCCTGATATACTGATGGACAATCTCATTTCTTGAGGATCAAAAACAGACACATGTACATACATACAGACACATACACACAGAAACATGTACACACACACATAAAAACACATGTATACAGCCCTATGAAAAGTTACAGTACCTTACCTTTGCTCACACAGCCAGGTACTGCACTCTAGGGGGAGACAGAAAGCACAGAGGACACTCCCCTTCCATTTGCTTTTGCTTTGCTCAGCAGTCTGATGGCTCCCAGTGCAAATGTACAGTGCAGCTGGGCATAAGGAGCTCAAGCTCAACTGACAGTCTTGCTCTGCCAGGACACCACGGCACCCCTGAAGACCTCTGGTGGCACCCCGGGGTGCCTTGGCAGCCCAGTTGAGAAATGCTGCTCTAGAGTAGTGGTAGAATGATTTTTGGGGTGTAATTCTAAGCATGTCCATGCAGTATGTTAGAAATAAATTGTTAAAATTACAACTTAACTAAATTGTGAAAAAATTGGGGCAAAAAATGATATCTTCAAATTATTCATCATTAGTTTAAAAAATATATTCCATAGACTTTAGACTCTAATTTTAACAAAGACTAAAAAAATATACACTTATTTTATTTTCTTCTACAAAAACATTTAGCAGAATACATTTTGGTTTAAACTTATAAAGAAAGATTCTACATTTAATATACAGTATTTTATAATATAATGTAAGGGAAACAGTTTTGCTTTCAAAAGGCTTGGTCTTTTTTATTTATATAGTAAATAAATAAATAACTCAGGGGTTATTAACCAATTCAATACAGGGCAATTTTACACCTTCCTGCCCAGGCCAGTTTTCAGGTTTCAGCGCTCTCACACTTTGAATGACAATTGCGCGGTCATACAACTTTGTACCCAAACTAAAATTTTATCATTTTCTTCACACAACTAGAGCTTTCTTTTGGTGGTATTTAATCACCGCTGGGGTTTTTATTTTTTGAGGTCCAAGAATGTCAGAACAGTACAGATATCCCCCAAATGACCCCTTTTTGCAAAGTAGACAGTCCGACGTACTTAATAAGAGGCATGGCGAGTTTTTTGAAGTTGTATTTTTTTGTCATAATTTTTCGGAAAATGAAAAAAATTAAACTATTACTTTTACTTTTACTATTACTATTACTATTTTTTTTTTACATATTGTCACCAATGCAGTACAGTGTCATCATATAACTGGCATGGCGCTGATCAGGGACACTGACTGGTGACAGTATGGAAAAAATAAATTTTGTTTATTTTTTTATTATTTTTTATTAAATTTTTTTTCTTTTTTTTATAAGATTTTTTTTTCATATTTCACTATGACCAAAGTAGTACAATGTTACCATAGTAACATTGTACTACTTTGGGGAAGTGATCAGTATTTTTATTTTTTTTTTTTACACAATTTGCTTATAGCAAAGAATTACTTTGCTATAAGCAAGCATTTACCTGAATGACATTGATTCATTCAGGGCTTTTTTTTTGGCCACAGCTAATCACATGACATGTGCATGTGATTAGCTGTGACCATTCACAGCTAGACACTAGTATACAATGGATAGCATGAATGAAGCCATCCATTGTATACAACTGTCATGTGACCTGCTGTGATTGGTCACAGCAGGTCACATGGTACAGTCAACGGGCCAATACTCAGATCCGTCATCGGCCGTGTCCGAGGTACACGGCCGGTGACAGATTGCACCGCTGCAGGAGCGCAATCTGCGCATGTGCGGGAGGACGCCATATGGCATCCACCCGGAATGCTGATGACATTTGCCGGCCGCCATTTGGCCATAGGGCGGGCGGCAAATGGTTAAATACCAAAAGAAAGCTTGTCTAAAAAAAGTCATATATAATTATTTTGTGAACTCTATTGCCTGATTGAGTAATTGTTAATCAAACTATCACAGCACTGAAAACTGGAAAAAAAGCCTGGAAAGGAGAATAATGTAAATGCTGGTATTGAGGTGGCTAAATAAATGCTTAAAAAAAACCCAAAGCACAACACTGTAGCTGCAACTGCATAAGTGTTCCAGCCACTGTTTGTTGGGTAACTTGGTCTGCATGTAAAAAAAAAAAAAAATAAATCAGAAAAACCTTAAGGAATGTGACATAAAAATAATATACTGATAACAATCACTTATATAAGTATCACCTAAATAAAGTAGCAATCTTTGCTAAAACATTTATATTAGGGCATCAAACCAAGTGTTACGCTGACTGAAAAATAGTATATTTACAAATGGAAACGTATTTTTACCACATTTGGTCAAATGGTCGAATGACAATTTTCAAATGGCACCCAGATGCAATTGTATGTTCATCTAACAATACACCTGCCTACCATAATCAAGGTTTAACCTAAAGTCTATATAATTATAAAATTAAAATTATAAAGAAAATGTTGAAACATTAGCGTTAATAGGGATATCTCAGAATTTCACAGATACAAGTGTCTCAGCGGTCAACATTGTGAACAATGATGGATACTGGCAATCTGGCGAATCTGAATTTGCACTCTACTTCATATTTTCTTGCCAAAGGTCTCCGTCATCAAAGGGTAACTGTATTTTTACATTCATTTGTGCCAAAGCCCCCTTCCACATCAAACAGCAAATAGTTATTCAGACCTCAGCTGCAAAACTGACCTGCAATGTACAGCCCTGCTCTGTGCAATACAAGGCAGTATATACCTTCAAGATTATGGTTCACTAGCGATGTTTTTGCTCACGGTATTCACCTTCATTTTCTGTCCCAAAGACTCAACAGGAAGTTTGCGGAAATCTCTCAAGGTTAAACAGTTTTCTCTGGAACAAGTGTCCCCATTAGTAGATCTCACTGCACTTCTAGTTTTTGGGACAACTGTAAAATTTTGGATTTCACCTCTCTTTCTGTTTTGGTGACAATAGTCACCAGTACAAGAAAAGGGGTTAATCTTCCCAATAAAGACTCAGACAGCAATAACATTTTGACATAAGGCCTAACCCTTGCCCATTCTAGCCAAAACTAAAAAAGTTTTCCTAAAGATACACATCAATATGAAGTTGCCTCTCTTTCTCCAGCTATAGCAGCCTCCGTTCTTTTGCGAAGGCTTTGCACAAGATTATGGAGTTTGTCTGTGGGAACTTGTCTCCATTTAGCTAAAAGAGCACTTTTGAGTTCAGGTATTCATATTGGAAGAGAAGATCTGGCTTGCAATCTGCATTCCAATTAATCCCATTAATCTCTGCCCAGCTCTGGGCAAGCCACTAGAGTTCCTCCATACCAAACTTGTCAAACCATGCATTTACAGAGCTGGCTTTGTAACAGAAAAGGGTTTTCCCCCAAATTGTTTCAATAAGATTGGAAGTGCAGTTTTAAATGTTTTTATACAGTATGTTGTGGCTTTAATAGTACCCTTCACCAGAGCAAAAAATTGTGCTCGGGTGTCCACATATTTTTGTCCATAGAATGGGGGACATGTATTAATTTTGTGGCACAGCAAGTCAATGCTAAACAGGAGTACCAAGAGAGACTTCTTATAATATTTCAGCTTGTTTATAAAATCTTCTCCTTCTACATTAAGGTTGGACTGCAACACAAAAAAAAAACTTGCCCCCAAACAATTCTTAATTGTGCATCTGTTTGAAGTGAAAGTCTGTTTCATCCTAATGAAAATCTGTCTAATTTTTGGTGCTACTTCTGTTGCAGACATGTGCAAAACGGTCTCAGTTGGCTTCAAAGGATTGGAGGGGAAGGGGTCCCAGATATACGAAAAAAATACTGTAAAACAGAACCAGTTGTCAGTGCTACAGGAAAAAAGACTCTTAGAGCTGTGAGTCCAAATGAAACCAAAGGGGAAATTAACACCACACAGGCCTTGCTGCCCACTTCAGATCAGGGATATCCATAAACAATAAATACAAAAAACAAAAGGAGAAGGAGCACCGGCTGATGCTCTGATGAAGAGGGCACTGCCCTTGAAAAGCGTAAGCAGCACCCCTGTGGATGGGCACTGTTCAAGCACTGGGACTGGATTGATTTTATGCATTCAGCTGTGTACCTTTGTGAGTAAATTGGATTTTAGTTGCACAAAAATGGTTTTTTATGATAATGCACTAGGCCGGTGTACCCTCTTCTTTTGTTTTTTCTAGGTAATACAAAATAAACTGCCAAAAGCTTGGTTGGCTTAATTTGCATCTAATGTTGTGGATAATTTGCCTGATATATGTCCCACTGTGTAACACTGTGAATAAGCACACCTGTGGTATGCTGCTATGAAATATCCATAGTATATAACATGTTTCTTCAACTCACCTCATCAGAGCCAGATCCAAATATCAGCAAATCAAAAGGTATCGCTGCAACCATATCTATTAGGAACCAGCCTTTAAAATAATGAATAGCTATTTTTGCAGGATCGCTGACAACTTCTTCGTTCTGATTAACGTATGTGGTCCGGAAGTTTATGAGGATATCGATAATAAACATGATATCGACAATTAAGTCTACGACATTCAGAGGGTTGCAGGAATATCCACATGTGCGTCTCTTCTGCTCCTCTATGTCATTAAGTAGGAAGGCAGCTGAATAAGGAGTGAAAATCGCGGTATAAATAACAAGCAACAAAATGAGCCAGTCCCATACGGCTTTGAAGGGGCTATAGTGCAATATAGTAAACTTATTGATACGAGGTGTTTGAAGTTTGTACTCCGGCAAGACGTCCGCTCCCAGTGACAGAACCTGCAGAGAAAGAGCAGCAAAGATGACAATTAGGGGAAAATATATATGTTTACATTCCCATAAAAGGTTAACATCTCCTCTGCTACAAAATGCATAGATTGATATGCAACAAACTTTCTAGATGCATGGGGGTGCACAAAATAATAAAAAATAGTGTTTTCTTTTAGCTTTAACAAGCAAGGATCTCATGCCTTTCATTTCAAGCTGTTCTGAGCTGTATACACACATGCAAATAAATATAGAGACCATAAATATAACAAAGTGCATTAGTCAAAAACCCAGAGAAGCTTATGAGAAGATGCTCCTGCATAGTGCAAATTGGGATTGTATTGGAGATTTGAGATCATCAACTTTCCCATGATACTGCAATGATGTCACCAGTGCCTACAGGGTGATCAGATTCTGGGGTGTAAGTTAGGTATATTTTTCTTTTTCTTTCCTTTACTTTTTTTAAATTCTGCAGTCTTGCAGCAAGTCTTACATATCAGTGATAGGGGTGGGGGGTCTAAAAGAGAGGCAAGGAATGCTATAAACAATTAAAGGGTTAGCTCATCTTTATAAAAAAAACTGCCTATCAAGGTAAGGAGTGCCTGTTGATAAAAACAAACTGTGTAGCTTTGACTAAAGTTGGATAATGTCCTTGCTATAGATATAGGCCTTTTATGTAACACCCAAAGCCTGGCTGAAAAAGATCCAGGGATGGCATCCCCTTCATCCTGCCATGTTGCTAGGAAGTTACTAAGGCACTCTGAGCTGTTTCTTCTCATCCTCAGAAGAGTGAGAACTCAACCCCTGCACATGTGCACTTTACCATCTCCTCTGTTGCATCATCGATCAGCTCAGAGCTACTGGGGGAGGGAAAGCATGCGTGAGGGAGTTTAAACTTGATAAGGAGCTCGCTCCTGTGATCACAGGGGTGAGCAGTACTGGCTGGGATTACCTTAGCAAGGTCCCAGCAACACTGCAGGGCAAGGGGTTGCCATCTTTGGAAGGTTTTTGGCCAGGCTTCTGTAGGTACATAAATGGCCTACAACTATAGCAAGGCCATCATTCAACTTTAGTCAAAGCTACACAGTTTGTTTTTATCTACAGGCTTACCTACATAGGCGGTGTTTTTGGTAAAAGTAGTCCTTTAAGTAGTATCTATCTAAAGAGAAACAAGGTACTTTAGCATGAAACTGCAGATGGAAACCACCATTCTCTGACTCATAGAAGCTCAATTTATTTTGCAAAATGTAAAGTTAATCTAAATGAACAAATCGCCAGGTTCTCTTAAAACTCTACCCCAAACCCAGAGGTACTTACCTTCCATGTATTCCCCGAATGTCCTGTTTGCTTGTGAGAGAGCTGAGTCTGAGTCTAATGTTAGTTTTGTGTTGGAACCTACACAATATTAGGAGAAGACATTTTCCCCTTCTTTATGTGATAGTGTTTGGGCCTGGTGATTGTCTGCTGAGGCCAAAGCACTCCAACCTGGGAGGAAGGGGAGGTTGCATACTCCCCCATACCCAGAAGTACCTTAGGGGGAGAAACAAAGTGAAGGTATAGTCGGGAAGGGGATATTAATATGGGAACCTATGGACCCTAAAAGGACAAAGTTACAGATTTTCTTTAAAGTATCCGCAACATGTGATCTTTAATAAAATAAAACTGACCAAAAACCTAGTATCCTTTTTCTTTAAAATACCATCTGTGCTTCTCCCAGGAACATTTTATTTATAAATGTGAGCCTATTCCTATCATAATTGCCCCTGGTCCACTTGTGTCCTCAACTGTCCCTGATTCTGTAATGATTTTTCGCATGAGCAATTGACACATTCCTAAAAACCTTAAATATATATACATGAATTACTGGTTGGCTGGGAATAAAAACATTGCTAGTATTATAAAGTTTATCCCTTCAGGCTTCACAATAGGGCAGCAGATACAGTACAAGTAGGATCTAAAATAAAGCACTCACGGAAAAATGAAATTGCTGAGTACAAATAACATTTGTTAGGTACACCACTGGAGCAGGAGGCTTGAATAGAAAACATCCATTATCTCATAGAAAGTACTTAGTGGTAAGTGCTCCATGAAACAGCTATGGTCTGGAATTACTACAGCAGTTCCACATTGTTATACTAACTGCTAGATAATATAGCTGATTTAAAGTGCATTTTTCTACCCAATGCTTCCAAAAATGCTAACTCCGGAATATGTTCTGTATTATCAACCCTATACAAACACTATAGTCAGCATTCAATTTTTATGCATTGTTATTTACAGAGATAGTGGCATATTTACATACCAACAGAACAGCTATATTACTAACCTTCCTAAGAAGTATATTACTGAAAGCAAGTGTATCCCATGTGAAACAAATTTACTCTATATGGGAAAAATTATTCAGGTGTTAACAATGAAGGGTACTCCAAATTATTGAATTAGGGTGTTTCCAGTGAAGGGTACAGTTCAGAATAAAGTTCAGTACAGAATAAAAAGTCAAATTAGACCAGCCTTTCTCAACCTTTTTACCATGCAGGAACCCTTGCAATCATTTTCAGGCCTTAAAGAACTCCTGTTAAATTATATCCCACAAACCCTAATATGTTGGTGTGATCAGCACTAGAGGTGCCCTCTTAAATTGTTGGTTAGTGGCAGAAGGCCCCCCTTTATATTGACCCCCAGTGGGAGAAGGGCCCCCTTCCATTGGTGATTAATGGGAAGAATGCCCCCTTACAGACATTTAAAAAGATCATTGGTGTAAATGGTTACTTATTTGAGAGTCAAGAGCAGATGCACTAATGGCCCCACATTGCTGGTTCTGGCCTGACATCAGTCCTGGAATTACAGTATAAAAGGTACCATCAGGTGGGAAATAAAGGAACCCCCAGCAACCTCTAAAGGTTCCAAAGAACTATGGTTAAGAATGGCTGTTTTAGACAAATGCGCACTTCCAACTTTGTAGCAATTGTTTGGGGAAGGCTCCTCTTTGTTCCAGTATGGCTGAGTCAAAGCAAGGTCCTTAAACACATAGTTTGAGGAGTTTGATGTGGAGGCCTGCAAAGAGCTCTGGCATAAACCTTACTGAGAATTCAATACTTTGGATGCAATTGGAACACCGATTGAGAGCCTGGTGTTTTCGTACCATATCAATACTTGACACCACAAGTGCACTTAAGGCTACATGGGTAAAAATTCACACAGATGCACTACAGAATCTTGTGAACAGTCTTCTCGAAAGTGACCTGGGGGAAATGTGTACTTCCGTATTAGTGTCCATGGTCATGGAATAAGATGTCATAGATTCAAAAAAATATGGCCAAATACTGTATATTGCCGTAGTGCATTTTTACTTTTTAAAGTAAACCTGTCACAAACCTGGGAAATTCAAACTGAGAATTTGATGAAAACACATAGGTCACTACTACTTATGCACTGAAAACCAGTTGTTGATCCATGGATAAAGACAGCTGAAATTGTATGCAAATCTCAGCTTTACCTATAAAGGAGGAGTATGCCCTGCTCCCTTCCAAACTTATTGGTCCTTTAATGAGATAGCTTGGATCATTAGCCATCAAGGAGGCTTTGGCTATGGAGCATATATAACTACAGATGCATATATATATATAAATATATCACTGAAAATAATATCATCTCTTTTATCATGATCAGTGTGGATTGACCATGTTTGTGACAGATTTACTTAAAAGTCATGCTGCCATTGTCAAATGATTAGCAACAAAAATCAGTTCTTCTTAAAATCTAACCCCACAATCAATAGTGATTCACTCTCCGCTTGTTTATATCTATCAGGGAGACCAACGGTGAGGTTTTCCAGTGGCACTTACCCCTTCCACATGTTGAAAGGTGTCAGTCTCTTGTTACTGAATTCATCAATTCACCTGCTGAGTCTACATAACAGAGAATCTGTTATCTGAAGCATGACACCATCAAAGAGTCCTATAATAGCTGCAGCAGCTGGCTGGGCTAGGATTTGTTGGAGTGGGATCTCAGTCTCGGAGATCCAGGCAACCATGTGATTTAAAATGACACAAACAACATAACCTAAATATACCAGTTTTGGGTGGATTTGGCTTTTAAATTCAGATTTAGTGCACTGGCGGTATTGCCAGTACCATATGCTGAAAAACAGCCCCACACCATGAAGCTCCCACCTCCAAACTTCACTCTTGGTATGGTGTTTTTGGGGTGATGTGCAGTGCCATTTGACCTCCAAACTCAGTGTGTGGAATCCAAAGAATTCAATTTTGGTCTCATTTGACCAGACTATATTATCCTAGTATTTAAAAGCCCTGTCTAAATGTTTTTCAGCAAACTTTAAATGAGCTTTTCTTCAGCAATGGAGTCTTGCATGGTGAGTGTGCATACAGGCCATTGTGGTTGAGTGCATTACTTATTGTTTTTTTTTTTTAAACAATTGTACCTGCTAATTCCAGGTCTTTCTGAAGCTCTTCACAAGTGGTCCTTGGCTTTTGGACAACTCTTCTGATAATTCTTTTCACTCCTCTGTCAGAAATCTTGCGAGGAGCACCTGGTCGTGGCCTGTTTATGATGAAATTATGTTCTTTCCACTTCTGGATTATGGCCCCAACAGTGCTCACTGGAACATTCAGAAATTTAGAAATCCTTCTGTAACCAATGCCATCAATATGTTTTGCAAGAATAAGGTTGCAAAGATCTTGAGAGAGCTTTTTGCTTTTACCCATCATGAGATGTTTCTTGTGTGACACCTTGATAAAGAGACACCTTTGTATAGGCCATCAGTTGATAGGCAGGATTGCTTTCTAATTACTGATAGATTTCAGCTGATGTCTTGGCTTTCTATGCCTTTCTGCACCTCCTTTTCTTCATGTCTTCAATACTTTTTCCCTTTGTCATACCATTTTATTACACGTAGCTTAATTTCTGAACTTATATGTTTTGGTTTCTTTGTATGTATGGATTTCATGGGTACTGAGAAAAAGGTGTCGTGTTCAATACTTTATTTTACCCACTGTATATATTTTTGATACATACACAAAAATGTAATGACATGTACAGTA